AGGTCAACACATTCGTTTGTCGGCATCCTATTTAAATAAGCTGACATTGTGAAATATTCAGGTGCAATGATGAAGGCTATTCGTCATCTTCCACCAAATTGTTCACGCTGATTCGACACGACGTGGTCATTGTACTAACTTCAAAATTTTATTAGGTGTAAATGGTCACTGGGCGATTGTGTCATCGCAAGCGCTTAGTGACCCTTTACACCTAGTGAAATTTTACACCTAGTAGAATATATATTACTTCTGACAATTACGGATACTTATGCACTTAAAAAGTTCAAGGTAATTACTTGATACTTCACGTATACTACGCGCGGGTGAAGTCTATCAAATTAGGAACTTAAATACAGTAAAGTAAAATTGCATCCAGCATAATTAATTTGTTACTAGTAAATTCGAAAAGCTTCTTTTACTATGTCTAACTCAAAAATGCATTTACTGATCTGCTTACCACTAATTGCGCGCGTCTGTCGTGACATGGCAAATCTTATGAAAATCATGGCCATAATTAACTAATTAGCAAGATGTTATCAACTTTTTTTGAAAAATTACCTGCTAATATATTATTACAAAATTATTGTATGGCTACAAAGTAATATAATGATTGTTGCCATTAAAAATAACATGTTATGTGTTCCATTCCGATACAGACGCGTCAAAATTCCTAAGTTTGTGCGAAATTCATGTAAAAGGCCGAGAATGTAAACAAGCCCGATAGGAACACAACACTGCTTCACTGTAAATATAGAAAGCTTTGAGGTTGAAGAAAAGATGGCGGCAAAGACACTATTAATTTAAAGTAATTAAACGGAAGGGTTCATGGGTGTGTAAACACTTCGTTGCAGGTCAGGTGGACGTTGAGACAATCCTGCTCATTAGCTGTCATAAATTATGGTTTTAACCTTTCTTGCCATGTCTTGACCGATGCGCGAATCAGGTTATTGGTCGGTTTTCTACCACAGATTTCAATTTACTTTGAAGTGCACACTTGTAGTCTTTTGCCCGGTTCGAATAGTTTATCTTTCCGACTCAGAGACCTTTAACCACTTCAGTATAGAAAATCGCTCCTGGGTTTATTTGGCTAGGCGAAGACCCTCTCTTCTCTCCAGTTGTGATTGGATGCAGCGAACCCTAGCGGTTTACATACTGTATCTCGAGACGGATCAAGTAGTCAGAAGCCTACAATCAAGTTTATAAACCAGATCACGAGACGGCTCAAGTGGTCAGAAGGCTAGAATCAAGGACGAATTAACGACAAGGCGTTTTCACGGAAGGTTTAAGCAAATCGAATAGAGTCCCCACAGAAAAGGTCTATAGTGAATATTACACGTGATCTACCTCAACTCCAAACAGGGTCAAGTTCGACAATGATTTAAGTACAACAAGAAAGTTGCAATCTTCACGACCGACTGGTACACAAGGTAAGGTTGGAATAAATATTCTCGAAATCGAAATACACTTCTGAATTGGTGGGTTTTATAGGCGTAATAGAGTAAAAAAACGTGTAGTGTTTGCCGTTTCCACTCCGGTAGAAACATGTCGTCTATGTGAGTGCTTTTTGTTCGGTTAAATATTTTTTTGAATGATAAAACCTTTTCACATACATCTTACAAGATGACGGATGTGCTAGTATAGCTAGATAGCATGCTATTTTTGTCTCACTGGATTTCGTCAAACCTTTCTATACTTTAATGCATCAATCGCTAATTAATGCACAAACACTGGCTCATGAACATTTTTAAAGGATTAAATAAAAAAAAATCTCCCTCTTAATTTCTTGTAAACATCAATCGACGAATGATCTGTTCGTTGCGTTCGCTTTGTTTCACCCGAATGATGGCTTAATTCTTAGATGATAGATGAAGATAACTAAGAACAAATGACAGAAAAGTGCCACTTACAAATGCGTTTCCGACGCTTCACGGCATCGTACAGCGAAAAAAATAAGTGAATAACTGTTTGATAAATAATATCTCTAGGTGCAGCAAAATTTGCCACCGGACAGACTTTAATCATGCATCTACATTCCAAAACTGCCTTGTGTACAAAACTAAATCTAGCATCGATTCGCAGGCTATACCGGCGTACAACCCGGTGTAAAACAAATTATCACTGCTTAACAGTTTTTCTTTTTGCTTCCAGGGCCATACGACTTTCAAAAAATGTATGGATCTACACGTACTGCTTGTACTCGCGTTGTAAGCATGGTCAAAATCCGGTTGCGGTACAAATTGCGCCGCTTTAAGTCAAAATCTTATATTCAGATATCAAAGACTACTTACCCTTAAAAATTAAATAGCAACTGCAATCGTATCTTTATCAAGCGTAGGCTGAAATTGAGTGAGAAAGAGACGAAGTGCGGCATTTTTTAATCGACAATTGATCAATTTTGGTGGCATCCGCCCCCGGCGACCGAGTGGATAAAAAACTGGTACCAGGAGGTATATGGATCGATAGACGCGTAGGTAAGTCTATCTATAAAGCCGGAGAATGCATTTCGAAGCTAAATATTTGTCCTTGAATATCGCTGGTCGTTTTACGTATAGTAATATAAATCTTAATAAAAAATTGTCGGCTAAAAGATCCAAATCCTACCCAACTGACACAATTTGCGACATGGTTCACACCAGTGAGGTTATGCAGAACGTTGGGCATACAAAGCTTTTAGATCTATAGTGTGGTTGAAATGTTTCAAATGGCATGATAAATATCTTCATTACTTTATACAGCCTATCCAAGGTCTTAATCATCTTGGTTTGGCGAGCAGCGAGTGAGTAGCTTATATTTATAAATATACTTGTTCAAGCTTCAAGGGCGCCCGCATCGATTTGCTAGCATTGGTTATCCTGTCAACGATGGATATGGTATGAAGTTATGTACAATCTCGCCATCTACATTTATCTATTACCCTATGTAGTCATCTCAAATTGTATGAGGATGAGAAAGGCGTGAGTACAAATTGAAATTTAATGCAGCGTGAAAGAAGTTTGGCATGCGGGACCATAGATGCTATGTTACACAAGACACTAAATGGCTAAGAAGAAGGTTTACCATGTCAAAAGCAAATAGTAGGCATTTCGCACCGCTAACACTACTCGACTGCTAAATTACCCCAATCGTATTGATCTGACCGCTCTAAATATCGCCTGTGTGTGACCCGCAAAAAGCTGTACCAACTCAAACCGACCTTTTTCATACTCGAAGCTCGGTCTTGCGCTGAAACAAAATTGCAATCAGATGTTCTTCTCGACCTTTACAGCAAAGCCCATGTCTCGCATACTGTAGCAACCCTACGTAATTTATAGAATATTTACTTAATTTATAATTATTAGGGCATCAAAAGGTTGCATATAATCCCATTGATAATCACAAGTGTACAGACTTTATGATTAAGAGCACTGTTCCCTTTTTGCTGATAAATATGTCATGGGGACTCGATTGCCATTAATTGTTGCCGATAAAGTTTAGACTTATCTTACTGATTGTATATTTGGCTACTGCGTTTAATCTTGCAAGCTTTCATTGTACGCTGAGTGCTAGATTTTTGGTCTATCAAAATGTGGATTTGGACAACCCAATAAAAAGCGGTGATGATTGAAGATCCCTCTCCTGTGAAATGCGACGCTATCACTATTATCTGAATAGAAATAGCAATTTAATCGCTTGATGCTAATGTAAGAACACCACATTTCTTAACGGCGATCTATGTGCACGTAGAAAATCGACATGGCTGTCCTAATGAGATTCGTGAAGAAGCTACTTACTCGCAAATGCATGCCGTCATATTTACGATTAGTCCTGGAATAGTTTGTTAAAGATAGGACCTATACTGTGTTAGGTGCTGAATTGATGTAGAAACACAACTGCGGTTCATATCCTTTTTTTGACGGAAGGGAACAATTCCAAAATAATAACGATATCGAAGAGGCTTCAGTCCCACTATGTGTGGTGGAGTGGCGACCGCTCATTTTATGAGTCGATCGCAACTCTGTACTGGCGCCCGTTCGACCGACTAACAGAGGGGGTACTCCGATTCCGTGGTGGTTTACTTGCTCACCTTGTGTACCCGTCGGTAGGGCGGGTTGCACTCTTCCAGGTGGACTCGTGTCGAAGGAAAACTTGACCGTATTGGGGTTGGGGTTGTGATCGTGCGGAAGTTTTCACACGATTACGGGGTACTTGTGGGTACTGATAGAAGCCACGCAGGTCTCAACGAGATCGCCTTGTCCACTATGTGGTTGCTTGATCCGCGAGCCTTCCGACCACTTTAGCCGTCTCGCGATCTTGCGCCTTGCCGTTACGTGTCTTGCTGCGTCCGATCGCAGTTGATGTTGCTTGAGAGTTCTTGAACACACCTGGAAAAAACAATTTAGTTGTGACACTTGCGTAGACGTGTATCGCGACTCTTTATCCGACGGGGGGCCAAAGATCCTACCCGGAAGAGATAACGTGTGCCTTGTGAAGTAATCTGAACTCTGTTTAATGTCAACCAACCAACCTAAACCCTACCCCTATGCCTATCCGTGTATCCTAACCAGATGCCACGCGTCGCCTTTCCAGGAAGATCGTCCCCTCGCATTTGTGTGGTCCACACCCAGTATATCAGCAGTTGTATCTTCTTGTGGCCAACACAAGATATCCCCATGATCCTGCTAGCGGATCGTGATCCTGCTAGCGGATCTCAGCTGAGATCGGACTTGCGATCCTAAACTAGGATCGCGGTCTTCCAGTGAGATCGAGGGTCTTGTTTTGCCATGTCTCACGACGGAATGCGCAGCTGAGATCGGACTTGCGATCCTGGGTTAGGATCACGGTCTTCCAGTGAGATCGAGGGTCCTGTCTTCCCATGGCTCACGACGGATTGCGTAATCAAAACAGGTGTGACCACCCTATAGCCTCGTCCCAGGCTGGACGATCCTGTCCACTTGGGGTTTGAGTACGCTATTGCCAGCTACCCGTCCCACCTTGTATCCAACAATCATAGCATTCTTGGCTTAACTGAAGCGTGCGAACTGTGCGATCGCCGATCCAAGTCCCAATAGAAATTTCCTTGTGACTGCTTTGCCACAACCGTCTCCTGCCCCGTCAGTCATCATACGGTGTTGATCTGGCTGTGCAACCTTGTGTGCTATATTCCGTTTCACGCCCTTTCGCATCTTCTGACACGATTTCCGATCCAGCCCATCCGGATCAGGTATCTCCTCCTGTAATAGGATCGGGTCTCCTCGGATCGCCTTCTGCGATCTCAACTTCAGATCTCGGAAGCTCGACGCCTGCCAGTCCTGCAATCTCAGACACCTCCACCGTGCCGGTGACCGAGTGTGATCGCTCGGCTGTGGTGAAGTCGGCCCAGATGGGGGAAAGCTCTGGTTGGTTTCCATCGTGATTCCTCTGTCGCGATCCTCTTCTATCACCGCTCTGGACAGGACTTTCGCCGACCAAAACGTCCCAACTCCGGATCCGAGTGAGCCCATCTTGCTCCTGAGTTTTCGTATCGAAACCTCGTGTTCGGTCGATCGAGCTACGTTAAACGCAGCGATTGATTTGCTTTACCCTCGCCTGAACCTCCTACAGACTCTCGTTGATCGGTAACAGAGTATGGAGGCTGCTTTGGAGCAGCAGATAATCCAGAATTGCCAGCTGAGTGAGGATCTTCAAGAGCTCCGCACCTTCGCGTCCCCTTTCGCTCAAATCGTCCAATCGAAGTACGACCGCTTGCACGTTTGCTATGAATACGAGGTCAAGCAGTCCGAAGCCTTTCGGGAGGCGTTGCCCATCCGGGTCGACCAGACCGTCTTGATAGAGCATCTGAAATCTGAAATTCTCGGGACTGTGTGAGCACGTCATGCCGCACAGGAGAAAGCCGATCGTGAGATCGCTGGTATGCGCAAGCAGATGGACGAGGCGGGAGAGCGGTTGGTGGCTGAATGCGACAAGTAGTCCCACAGCCTGGACAAGGCCAACAGCAAGAAGTCGAAGTACAAAAAAACGGGCCTCCAACTCCAAGAGAAGCTGCGTCGTGCACTCAAACAAGTAGCGGGGCTCCATGCCGACCAGGAAAAGCTGTGTCGCGCGCTCAAGCAAGTATCGGGGCTTCAGGCCGAATTGTGCGAGGCGCAGAATTCTCTATCCGCCTAATCTGCTGAGTGTGATCAATTGAGTCGCATCGTATCGAATCGTGACGTTACGTTGGACCAGATGCGAGTTCGGATCGCGGACGTGGCTTCCGAACGTGATCGCGCAATACGAGATCACACGAATCTTCGGGATCGCATGGCGTCGCTGGTGTCTGGGGAAACTTTAGCCACACCTACGAAGGTGAGATCGTCTACCCACACGCCCGTTCCCGCGAATCCTCAGCCGATGTCGAACGGTTCAGGATCGAGTCGCAAGCGATCTCGCGATCCCCTACCATCGTCAACTTTGCCGCCTTTCAAGAAAGTAACTCGATCCGCTGCGTCCAAAGCTAAGCCGTCCATAGTTTGCGATCCCAAGGGGGGAAAGATCCGCAACTGCTAAAGCCAAGCCGTCCCCAGCTTGTGATCCCAAGCCTCCGTCCTATCCTAAGGGAACCCGCGATCCTAAGGGTCGTCGCGATCTCAAGAATTGCCATGATTGAGCACAGCCTGCAGCTACCCCAAAACTGGGCAAGCAGAGTCGCCGTGGTCCGGGCTTAACCTCGTCTGAGGGGGAGGATACATCGGCAGGTGGGGATGAGACTTCAGCGGCTTCATCCGGCCCGCGATCGTCCAGGCGTCGTTGAGCGTCCAACCCGGCGGCACAATCTTCGGTTGGGCCTCCTCCGGATCCGATCGTCATAGACACGCCGAGCCCTTTGCGCGATCCCCCACCTCCGGTCGATCCTATTATTTCTACCGTGACCAAGGTATCTCGCGCAGACCTTTTCGGAGAAGCTGCCAGCGACTCGGATGATGCCATCATCCTTTCCGATTCGTCTCGTGATCACGTCAATCCGATGTTATCCCTGGCGGATTATGATAGCTTGCCCCTTTCCCAGGTCTTTCGCGACCAGTGGATCCCTGTATATCGAGAACGCGTACCGCGATCGTTCACTCAGGTTTTCCTCTGGTCGGCACGCAAGGTCAGTTAGACGAGCGTCGCGGATATGGACACTGAATTTCTGTACCTCTACTTATCCCGTCCCAAAGGATAGATCTTCCCAAAGTAATGGCGCCCAAGTGTCCTCCTTCAACGTCTGAGTGGACGCCTCAGCTGGCGTATTCGGCCCAGATCGCGGCCTTATCCGCCCAAAAGCCTTGGGAGACAGCCACACGTCGGATTGCGCCGATCTCCGACCCTCGTACCGGCTGGTTCGACCAGCTCGTCTCTCTATAATTGGAGTTCGAGGATCAAAACCAACACGCTTTGTGGGAGCAGACAAACACGATCTTTCTTTCCAGTAAACAGCGGGCCAGCGATCCTGAGTCTCACCAGTTCTGGAAACAGCGATAGCAGTGTCGGTCGCGAGCTGGACCTCGGTGGAAGGCGATCCTTCGTATCATCTTGCAGGTATGATCGCAGGTCATTGTGACCTGGACATTCTGTTGGATCCCTTCTTTCTGCACTTCCCTTTTTTTGAAGAGGTTTCCCCTTGGTATCCTTGCCTGGGATGCAGATTGAAGGGCATCCCCAATTTGATCGCTGCTCTTCCGTTGCTGGACGCCTCTGGACCTTGGCGTTCCCAGTGTCGATCCTCTATTGCGACCACCCCGGATTATCGATCGTACGATTGCCAGTTGAATTCTCTTCTGCTTGATCGCTAGGATTTGATTCAGATAGTTCTATAATTCAATATTATCTCTCTTGATCCTTCATCTTGTTCTTCATCTTGATATCTACTTCTTTTCTTCGGCTTTTCAACCGCGACCTGTCCCTTCGATCCGCTATCGCCACTCATTTTACATATAGCCCCGATCCATCATCTCACAAAACCTCCTTGTACACATGCCCATACACCATTTCACGTCCACCTTTTAGCATGCGCCAACCGCACATCGCTTCGATTACCCGTAAATCTTCACTTTCCTCCTATTAGTACTGCATAACTTTAAACCGGTTTTGACTCGCACGGTGCGCTCAAAATCTTGCAACAACGCGCCACAGTTCAAATCCGCTTCGTCTATCCAGGTCGGATTGTCGTGTTGCTTCCATTGAACCAAAACTGTCGATGCACTCGCCCATAACGAGTTTACGTCCTGATCGTACATCCAAAATGTTCTTCACTTCGTATTCGTCAGCAGCCAACTCGTTTTCCCAACTATCTCTCCGCCAGCAACGACTCATCGAAATCCACCCGATCCTCACAGTTATTCAATAGCACACTGCCTGGGCGATCAGGAAACTGTACCACTGGATTTAATTTGGAGACGTGCACTATCAGGAACTATCGGTATAAAGTTCCTGAACTCTCTACCCGAACAGCATGTTCCCCACATAACTCCGCCACTCGGAACGGTCCATGCCACATATGTGCTAATTTTCGAGCATAGCCGTCTTTGACTCGGTCAAGTGGAGCCAAACTTGCGATCCGCACTTAGTACCACATACTTCATTATTTTCATTATGTTGACCCACTCGATCTTGGATCGCGATCTTTGGACGTTCGTTTACCACTGCTCTTGCCATCAGTATTGACGTTGGACGCTATATCGCCACCCTCTGGGGTCAGCATCGCGTGTATAGTGCTCCCCAACGGTAACGTTGCTTCCAATGTCGATCTTGGATCCCAGCCATACATCAAACAGAACGGAGTGTCTCCACAGATCAGATCTTGTGCCGTATTCATCGCGAATGTCAATCTTTCTGCATATTCATCACAGTCTTCTGTTCTACGTCTGGGACGTACATCTTAATCGACCGAGTCAACATCTGTACCATACGCTCCGCAGTTCCGTTCGCTTGCGGTCGGTACGTCATGGTCGCACGTTGCTTTTGCCCTGCGATCCGATTAAATTCTCGAAAAATGTCGGACATATATCCAGGCTCCCTGTCGTGACGTATAACTTCATTGGCTCCAGATCTTCAAAATAAACAATCTTCATTTCCTTCAGCGGTCGTTTGCGCGGTCCTCGACGAACTTGCTCTCGCGATCACATATCCTGAGAAAAGATCTACCCAAAGCAGCATTTCTGTGTTTCCTTTTAATGAACGCGGCAGTGATGGGATATGATCCATCGCGATCACCTGAAATGGGTATGTAGCCTGTATGTTTCTTGGGGGTCTGCCGCGGATCCCGGGTAGACCCTTCCTGGTTGTACAGTCCACACATTTGCCAGCATAACGTTGCATACTCCGATATAATCCTGTCCAGTGAAAATTGGGTCTGATCCGCTGATGAGTCCTCCCTATCCCCTGGTTACCACCCTCCAAGCTTGTGTGGTAATGGTGCATAATATCTTTCTGCAACAATTATGGTACAACTGGACGGACCATCTCTATACGATCTTCCGATCCCTTAATAGATCGGGGCTGAAGGATAGCAATCCGTTTTCGTCCACTTCGTAGTCTGGAGCGATCCGAGCGCATAATTTTGCATCCTCTGCGTTTAACTAAGTCAGATCGCCCACAAGATTTTTGTGTCCAGCTCTCTTCCTCTTGCGCTTGTTTTATCCGCTCGATCCGCATCCGCTGCACTATTTCTTTTGTAAAACTTCAAGTTGTTGACACCTTCGCCGCGCGGATCGTGTGATCGCTATCATTTTTACTACGCGATCCGTCCTTTCCGGCAGAAGCAACTCGTGCAGCCTGTTGAGTGATATCAAATCTTGCAATAAATGATCTAAGTTCACAATGACACCACCCTCTTGCTGCAAATCTGCACTGGCTAGTCGATCCGCGCTTTGGTCCAATCCCTCTTCATGTGTAGGAACTAACGTTTTGACCAAGATCGAAGTTTCTGCATTGCTTTATGACGCAGTAACTTTAGCCCGGGCGCTTTACAATCCATCTCTTCCCGCATTTGCCTGATCACTAGGTTCGGGTCACCAAATATAATGACTCGTTTCCTAGTTTGGTTGTCTAGCAAATTGAGACCCAACAACATGCCACGATATTCGGCTGCATTCACCGTCAGATCTGCCGCGTAATCTGAAGCAGCTGAGATGATGGTCCATTCCACTAGCTTCCACACGATCGCACTATATGCCCCGCTCTTCCGTTAGTCCGTGCAAATCCGTCGAAACTGACCACCGACAGGCGTTCATCCGTACCTAACGTGGGAGGTAGCATACTTACCAGTTAATTAGGTTCCTTCTGTGGAGCGATCGCAATTAAAACATCATCTACCTCATCTCGCGGAGTTATACTAGCTGCGAGAGTGCCTAGTATTTTATCCTCTCCTTTGTTACATCTCTTGACCTCTAGTGTCGAATTCGATAGCGGCACAGCCCATCTTCCCAGTCTCCCATTGAGGCCAGAAGATTGAACTAGTCAAGCTAATGTCGAATATCGAGTGAGCACCCTGATCTCTCGGAATACCAGCATGGTATAGCACACTTCCACGATTTGAAGTAGGGCTAGAACTTTTTTTCCACCATACCGTAATTAACTTTATCAGGCTTCAGTGTGCGACTCGTGAATGTCACCGGCCAGTATACGCCGTCATATTCTTGCAATAGAGATGCTGAAACTGCCTACTTACTAGCATATACCACGATCACTGGAAGTCGATCCGGATCGAAATGTTTGAGAATCGGGGTTGTAGCGATCTTGGCCTTCAGCAAAGTGAATGCAATGGCGGCCCTTTCCCACCGAGATCGCTCATTTGGATCATGCTCACCCTCTTGAAATGTGTTATCGCAACTTCCCGACATCGCATCACGATCTCCCATATGGCTCATCTCAGAAAAAAATCGCTTCTCGTAACTCGTACAACACAGATGCATATACTGCAAAAACTTCAATAAAACGACTGTAATAGTTCAAGCTACCCAGGAACGATTGCATGGTTTGCAAAGTTGTGAGAAACGGAATGTTAACCAGAGATCCTAGATCTTTAGGATTGGCCTCCAACCCAGCTAAAGATACCTAATGACCTTAGTAATACACCTTACGCCGTCCTCAAAAACTCCTGGTCAGACTGATCGACAAATTCCATCGATCACATGCTGTCAAAAATCTTTCGACCTTGTCGTACAAAGATGTTAATGACGTAGCCGGGATCAATATGTCGTCAATAAAAGATCGCCTGCACAGCACTGACGGCGATTGATCCGTTTCAGGGTCTCCCTTAGTAAACACATCAGATTACTTAGGATAATCCGTTTCATTCGCATCCTTATCTACGCCGATCTTGAGATAACCATATAGAGCATTATCTATCAAACGCTCATAAATTTGTGGGACGTTTTTTTATAAAAGGGATCCGCATCCATTCAAACAGACCAGACGGCGTGATAAACGCAAAGAACGATCTTTCTCGTTCGATTATCTCTACCACTTAAAATCCACTCGCCATGTCCAGCCAACAATACCAAATTGCTTTGTCCATGTCCTGCGACAATTTACTGATAAGTGGGATAGGGTACACCATCAGATTTGAGCTGATGACTCGTCGATAGTCGACACACAGTCGAATATCTTCTCCATTTTGCTTACTAATTACGAATGTTGGTATTGCCCTTGGCGATATCAAAGGTCGGATAAATTTGGCTGACAAGAGGCCTTTTATCAGATCGGCCAACATCTCACGAAACTTTGGCGCAACAGGTCGTACACGCTGAGCGATCGGCCTCGCCTCTCCCGCATCAATATCACAAACGGCTCCGCGTGCTGCAGGGGGTAATGCAATCCTTTCCCGATCAACAGGTGACGACTCTTGCATATCAGCTGTCGCAAATCCTCTTGATTCTCTGTCAAAAGTATTCCAGGATCGCCAACCTGGACATCGTCTATTGTTATCTCGGTCGTGTATATGGTTACCTCCGGCAGCACAGCCATGTGTTGTTCCACATCTTTCGCGAACAGTTGACCTCCCTCGTGGTAGTATGTTGATTTGTCCGGTACATCATTTTCCATTACTTCGCCGTCGATCGTAACAGCTTTTTCACGTCGTCATTTTATCGTGTAGACTGGCCATGCACCTCCCGATCTTCAACCTTGATCCCGTCTGGGTGACAGTTGGACTGTCCTTGTAGTGGATCAGCTGTTTCAAGGTTGTTTTCGGTGTCATAGCCTCCTCTGCAACCATGTCCTCTTCACTCTAATGTTCTGGCGTCTTCTGCACTGCGTTGACCGCACACATTCTCATTGTCGATCTGTCATCCTTGTCTTCGTTATTCTTTCCACTCGTACATTCGCCCCGCAACGCCTCATTAGAGTCTACATTAGAGTCGGATAGTGAGGCGATCTCTGCAGAATCCTTGATGTCGTCTGATTCCCGTATTGAGCGTGTCAAAATTGGGGTAGGTTTCTCATGCGTAGAATGATCCACTTACGGGCCCATGTAGGCTTCGGCTTCTTCTTCTCAATCTGTAGTGGCTTCAAACGCCAATATCTGCCATTCCATGTACCGCCGCGATCCTACAGATACGTATCCTTTAAATCGCGGGATCATGTCTTCTGTCATCCACAACGCTAAAGGGGCCCCGCAGTTTAAGATCAAGTCACGATCGCTTACATTTGTTAGCTGCAGGAACTTAATCCTTCCAGGACCATTCGTCACGGTAGGAATCCACGCCACATCCCGTCACACCCAAAGCTTACATTTAGAAGGGTTGACACCGATCCTGACTTTTGCCGAATTGCCGGCCGCAATGGCTCTATGTCGTTCGTTAATGTTGACCGCTGATATATTCGATCGGTACGGTGTTCTTCGTCCAGCCAGACTGACTCAAACTTCATTGGGCAGGCAAAGGGTTCCGTCGGCCAAATTTACGGATACCTGCAGGTACCATGAAGTCCATGCCTAGTATAGCTTCTTGACCGACTTGATCCCCAACCCAGACATCAAAATAATGCAATATTGATCCGTTTAGTGTGATCTTTATCTTGGTCCGTCCTACCGTCATGTAAGTACTCTCTCCGATCTTAACAAATTTTTGTGTTTGGTTCTCGTCTACCACACACCCTACCTTACGAGCAAGGAAGTGTCGATGATCGAAATCTCCGCACCAAAGTCGGACAGAAAAGTGACCTTCTTGTTGTTGATCTTGCCCACTGCTTTCGCTTGTTTGAAACCATTTTCCCGGAGTATGATACTTCCAGTATCTCCTAGACTCACCTGGGATGAGATCAAGCTCCATCTACACCGGGTATCGGGCATGAAAGTCCACTCGCTATACATTTGATATCAAAAAGGTCCGTTTTGAACGATCAGATATATTAGAGATTGGATCGCGCCAATCCTTAACTCCTTGGTCATCCGAATTCTTCTCAGCAAATGCATATATGCATAGCCCATAACGCTCAGCTCGTGCCAAATTCCAACTTGGCGAGCGTCCTGGTTCAACAATTCCTCGACCTTAGAAGGAAACATGCCCACATGCTTAGTAGGCACATACCACTGGCGGATCAAGTTGAAGAACTCTTCCATGGGGCAATTGCCATTCTCATGTACCTCTCCACATGATGCACACACGTAGAAGCACTTGTACGATGGATGCCCTTTGCGACCGCACTTCTGGCACGTTAGTCTTTGCCAGCATCCACGATCATCATGTCGCGTCGATCCTCAGTGAGTGCATGCCTTCAATTTTCCATTTCGTTCACGTCTATCTTCTTCACCAGTATTCTTCTGCCAGGTACGATGATCTTGCTCCGATCTCTCTTGACAAGATGTAGTGGTCACAAAGACTCGGCGGCGATCCTTGTCTTCATCAGATCCAATCGAGTCCGATTCCGATCCGATCCACTCACGGATTGCCTTCACCGCCCGAGCAGTCTTGGATGGCGTAGGATTTAGTGAAGTATTCGCTCGCTGGTGGAACTTATTCGATCCTGTCGACGTCTTCAACTGACGACTCTTTATCCTTTGGCATGCACGCAACGTCTCATTCAACTCATTGGTATCGGCCAGTAGCAGTAGGGTCAGATGCTTGGCCAGATCGCGATCGTCCAACGTGGCAATGAAGTGTTCCACATGTTCACGACTTGTATCCAATGTGGCCATCCTCTCGTCTCTGGTCGCGATCTTAGCATGCTTAGCCGCGACACTTAGGCGGTGTAGATACTCCTGTGGAAATTTCATTTGATCGTTTCCGTGCGAGATACTATTGTCTGGCCAGAGATACACCTTGCCCTCCATACTGTACCATAAACGCATTTAGCAATATCTTCCCTTTTTTTGAGTGGATCGACCTAGTTGGTAGCATTAGATTCGAGCGGGTCCTGTCAGCAGATCTCCGAACGCCAAACACTTCTCATCATCGGGTGCTTGATCGCGCAAGAAAGCCAATTTGACCTTGCTGATCCAGCTTCTGGCCTGATCTTCATCTCGATCCTTGCCAATGAATTCTTTCAGATCTGTCACCGCCGACACTCGAATGCGTTGAGGTATGCTACCACCATCTTACAACGTCTCGGTCGTAGCTACCATAGCGTGTATACGATCTTCTTGTCCCGAATCATCGGGATCGATGTCGTCAGGGTCTAAAACCTCCGGTTGACTGATGCGTGACTGCACCGATTCCATCTCCACATCGGGGGTATATCTTTCACGGGATCTAGCAGGTTTAATCCGTTGGCTAGGGTAGATCGCTTGATACGCTCGTTCCCATTGATCTTGATGAAAAGGTTCCATGGCCTCAGCGAGGTATGCCTGCAGGAGTACTTGCGTAGTAGTTGTCTACTGCTCTGTAGCGCCTGTGGCCCTCGATCGCGAGCTTAGCTTCACCGACTCGACTCGATTGCGTAAATGTGTTGCGCCACTTAAGCCTAAAGACAATCACTGGATGCCGATGGAATCTTCCGACTACATCTGATTCCGCCGAGGCATATTGTGACGATCAGGTATGATACCCCCTCGGGACATCGGCGATGGAGTCAACCGCTCGATCCGTGGATTCGCGCTTCCCCGTCAGAATAATTAGCTCGTCATACAGAGATCGACACGCATGGATCACCTGATCCTGATTGCATTCCATCAATTTGTTCGCATCGAATGCCCCAGCGACGTATCCAGCATCTTGTAGTATCTGGATGATCCCTTTGATCCCTTCCAGCAAATTAGTTGCCGCCTTCGGTAGAGATATCGGGCCTTGAATTTCTCCGATCAGCTTGGGCTTCAGTATCCGTAGCACGGGGTCGCTCTATAGCAAATTCTTGAGCGCCTTCCAATGGAACCCCTGCGCCAGTTGATCCAGCTGCCATCCTTCCCTCTTCATATCCAGAGCCTCGTCCAAGAACTTGATCGGTTTCACGGTCGACTTTTTGCTGCGATCTTGTCGATCCGATCTGGGCTCTTCTTTCTTCACTCGATCTGTCTTGAAGTCTTCTTTTTCGACATTGCCTGGATGGTCTTTTGTAGCTTTTGTTCGGTTTTTGCTGAAGGGTCTTCGCCCAGCGGATCGTGTTTTACAGCACGATCCGCGGTGTTCCCCGAAGGACCTCAGGAGGGGTTTGGGGTCTATCTTCCAAATCGATCGATCGATCTTCTTCTTAATAATCTTGTCATCAAAGCCCCTCCCAAAACTCTGATAACCGGGTATCCTTTAAAATCACGCGTCGGAGGCGATCCCTTTTCCTCTAACTCTTCCATCACAGGTTCAGTCTTGACTTTCCCCTCTCTACTTAGGGACTCACGGTGAAATACCTGGTTCGAATCCGGGCACGCGCACAATTGTGGTGGAGTGGCGACCGCTCATTTTATGAGTCGATCGCAACTCTGTACTGGCACCCGGTCGACCGAATAACGGAGGGGGTACTCCGATTCCGTGGTGGTTTACTTGCTCACCTTGTGTACCCGTCGGTAGGGCGGGTTGCACTCTTCCAGGTGGACTCGTGTCGAAGGAAAACTTGACCGTATTGGGGTTGGGGTTGTGATCGTGCGGAAGTTTTCACACGATTACGGGGTACTTGTGGGTACTGATAGAAGCCACGCAGGTCTCAACGAGATCGCCTTGTCCACTATGTGGTTGCTTGATCCGCGAGCCTTCCGACCACTTTAGCCGTCTCGCGATCTTGCGCCTTGCCGTTACGTGTCTTGCTGCGTCCGATCGCAGTTGATGTTGCTTGAGAGTTCTTGAACACACCTGGAAAAAACAATTTAGTTGTGACACTTGCGTAGACGTGTATCGCGACTCTTTATCCGACGGGGGGCCAAAGATCCTACCCGGAAGAGATAACGTGTGCCTTGTGAAGTAATCTGAACTCTGTTTAATGTCAACCAACCAACCTAAACCCTACCCCTATGCCTATCCGTGTATCCTAACCAGATGCCACGCGTCGCCTTTCCAGGAAGATCGTCCCCTCGCATTTGTGTGGTCCACACCCAGTATATCAGCAGTTGTATCTTCTTGTGGCCAACACAAGATATCCCCATGATCCTGCTAGCGGATCGTGATCCTACTAGCGGATCGTAATCCCACTAGGGATTGTGATCCTGCTAGTGGATCGTGATCTAACTAGCGGATCGTATTCCTACTAGCGGATCGTATTCCAACTATCGTATCGTAATACAACTAGCAGATCGCAGCTGAGATCGGACTGGTGATCCTGGGTTAGGATCGCGGTCTTCCAGTGAGATTGAGGGTCTTGTCTTGCCATGGCTCACGACGGATTGCGTAATCAAAACAGGTATGACCACCCTATAGCCTCGTCCCAGGCTGGACGATCCTGTCCACTTGGGGTTTGAGTACGCTATTGCCAGCTACCCGTCCCACCTTGTATCCAACAATCATAGCATTCTTGGCTTAACTGAAGCGTGCGAACTGTGCGATCGCCGATCCAAGTCCCAATAGAAATTTCCTTGTGACCGCTTTGCCACACATGCCCTTTCCAGATTAATGTTTTGTCTTTCTATCTTTGTAAAACTACCAACATCAATTGCTATTGTTATTAACTAATCACAAATCAGCCCTTATCGCTTTTTAATATATGAACTGTGAGAGGGCTAAATAAATTAGAGGCGCCCATGCTCGGTACGGCGGAATTCGTTAGGATCGAACCTGCACAGAATTGATCAATTTGATACGATATTTTTTCTTCAGTTAGTATATCTTTAAATTTGTGCTCCACGTATTTTGTACATAAGATAATCAAACTATCACATTTTAACGTCATTGATATAAAACGTCAACAATTAAACTGGTCTGTGTGCTTTAGACAGAATGGTTAGCTCCTGAAGTCTGTCAATACAAATTAGATATTTTATATCCGAAGTTTTAAGAGTATTGTAATTGTTTTCCTTAGCCCTTGTTCGAAGAGCGCTTTCCCCGGACAAAGGTGTACAATTTTCTTACATGAAATGCATTTCATAACGTATCTAATATTTTACATAAGGGAGCAAGCTCTGATGACTTTCCCTTTGGTACAAATTTTTTTATATTATAGATACGACTAACTTTGTTTAAAGCAGCGTACGAACTTTAACAACATAAACATATACTTAGATGCATTTCAAAACTTCGATCCATTTTGTAGTGTACACTAAGCCGAGTTGTTCGCCCACCATTTGTACAGCAAAAATCTGCTGCCCTTTTATCTTGCATATCTAATATCACGGATGTAGGACAACAGCCAATTCGCAGATATGCTGAAATGGAGATGCAAGATAAGCGCTGCATTACAAAGGCGAGATAATACCTTTGTACACATAAAGTCGTGCCCCACCTTGGAGCCAATCATGTGTGTGCATCGGTGTGAATTATAACCCCTACGCTGTCGTGACCAGTGACTTAACTAAAGTGTGTAGTAGTGCGTCCATTACATGAAAGTTCACACATAGTAAAAAGTACAAAATCTCTGTCAGGACAAACAGAAAATTCTCACCAAGTTGGCTTAACAAGCAGTATTATGCTGCAAAAGTGATACACAGCTCATTGGTTGATAGAGATTAGAGATATCAGCCGATAAAGCCGAGCCTCGACAGTATCTTGCATCGATTGGGTAAGAAGATAGTTACACAATTCGTGTTTGTGACTAGATGTAGTTAAATGAAGAATAAACAGGATTTATTGACAGAAGATTAAATTAATTAGATCCAGTTCCATTTAACTCTTTGTTTGTGTTTAAACCTCCATCTGCATTAGCGTGTACGTGAAGTCTTGTGGTATAACCCTATCCTGTCGATGAGTAGTTTTTACTGTGGCAGTACAAGCGTCTGGTGCCCCGATAAACAAAAAGTGACAATTATCATACATAACTATCAATAAAGGATGGAATAGGCTTATCGTACTTAGCACGACGTATTGGGTACACCTTTCGTAATTTTACAGGCAAACACACAGATATGTACAATTTGAAAAGATCGGCATTAAGCTCTCGCAGTCACTAAAAGCTTCACTATTCGTGCGCGCGATTAAAAAAAAATTGCCCCGGATTCACCACTTGTCATAACTTATGTAAAAGACGTGACGACGGTCTGCTATTATACAATATTTCGATAATTTACATAAGCAAGAATAAGGCAAGTGCTGTTACCGGGGTGGACGAAGCTAAAAGTGACATGTGCAATCGTCGATTGTGTCGCCTCTCTGTTACTAGTAAATCGGGAAAGGAAGCATCCTTACGTGAGCGATCACAGGTTTGACCAACTAGGAGATGCTAGAGGGGCAGTAAGAAAGGATTGTGAACGCGTCAGGTAAAAAAAACCGACATGAAAAGAATAATCTAGACGTAAGAGTGTAGTTTCTCACTTCTGATTTTGCACTGTTGTAGGTTATTATACTACCCTTACATACTAGTGTAGTAAACGTACAATAATGGTGAAAGTCATTCGGGGCTGTTTAGTAGTTCAGCCAATAGTTTGTCGCAATACTTGACATCCTCGTTCATCTCAATGGTTTTATAGGTAGCGATGAAATCAGACAAGTACGGCCGAAAGTGATTTTCACCCCTCGCCATTTCAAAGGTGGCCAATAAAGGGTCCAATGCCGCACGAAGTGCATCAAACGTGACACCATTTTCAATGAGCGCCCCAAGCACGATCGTTGGGTGTTCTGCAATGACATTCGCAAGCTCCTTCACGTGTGCCATGGAAATGGAAAGCGTTTTAAACAATTCTGGAAAATGCTTGATGAGTGCTCTTGCAAGCGGCTCAACCATGTTTCTCTCTTCATCAGTGCTCTTGTAACCTCTCAAGTGACGGTGACTAGCCGAGTCCGCGAGACGGCCATCAGAGTCAAGGAAGTTGATGGTCTCACTCAGCGATGAGACTCCCTTGTGGCCCAAAACTGCCGTCGCAAGAGCCTCGCTTTGCGTACCATGGCGAATGACAGCAACAGACACAACAATGTTGATCGCACGCATTTTGGAGTTGAGTGGTGCGGAGTAGATTGCAAAATCGATAATGATTTCCTTCTGAAATCTTGCGCACACACTTGCACAAGGCTAGACATTACGCATGTCATAAGTAGCCACAAGATACTGGTCGGTAGGTCAGAAGGCAGCATGAAATGAGGCAGCCTTTTTACAATGTCAGGAGGAGAATCTCTCGCCTTGGCAGAAAAAAGACACAATATGCGCGAGACTAAGAACGGCCACCTTCCCTCGACTTAAAGTTTGTTCGCTTGCACAAAATCTCCAGGAACGGGCTGGTAGTATTTTGATATAGTAAAAGCTTATACGTAAGGATTGACGCATGCATCTGATGGCGTTTGTCAACTTCGCATGTTCAACGGCCAAGCCTTTTGTACACGAGGATTTATGTAAATGCATCCAGTTGAAACTGGTTTTTAGCTGAGGTACGGATCCGTTACGCAAGCACAGTATCGGTGAGTTTACTTCCAGTATGAGATCCACTGTAATGTGCATTCTAGAAACAATAATACACATCAAAGTTTAAGGTCAGGACCAGGAAGAAAGAGCGAAACCTTGTTTACGCCCCAAAAATCGCTGCGCAGACGCTTCAAAGCTTACTACTTCCACCTTGTCTTGTCTTCTTTTGATGGGGCCACTGTGCGTGTCTGCTTTCTCGCAACCACAGATAGTGATAGAAAGACTAACGGGCTACCCACCACCAACCAATTTAAATGCAGATTGAAATATTCAACACTGATCGGAACACGAAACTGGTACCAAGAGGCTGGACGTCCTGCAGAAAAGACGTATTGATTGAAGTTGGCAGGCATTGCGACGAGGTGGTAGGCGTCATCAATCCGTTGTTACCGCCGCAATTTTGTTGGCTTGGATGTGCTTAAACTGGGTGGCGCAACCTGCGAGAAGAAGTGGCGCCCTTGTGACCTTAATGACTCGAGTAAGTGCTGCAAAATGCTTCTGCACGAGACGATCTCGAGTTGTTTTTAGTGAATTACGTCTCACGGCCTAAAGTTGCAAAGTATAGCCTGGGATCTATCTTTTGATTTGTGATCGGGGCTGACGCAGCACCAAAACAAGCAATCGGGATTCGTGTCGGCTATCTATCACACCAGACGTATTTCCCAAATTTTCACAGTTCAGCTCAAGCCAGTCGTTTTCACCCTTCGGGAGCGGCCACTTCGGAAGGAATTCTCCCAATAGGGGAGCCGCAGCGGTTTGGAGTCTGCCTCGAGCGCGCTGCAATCGCAGTCTCGGATGTGGCGGCAGTGGACCGACGGGTCGCGCAAGCGGCCATGAAGGGGAAGGTTACGGAACGGAGGCGTACCCCGCGCCTCATGTCGCCGCTTCGGCGGTCGCACCGTCCAAGTCCTGGGGGTTGCGCAAGTGGCCAAGTGGGGGCCTACCATCGCAGATGGAGAGTCTCCAAGGGAGATATTACGACGGGTAGGCGTTCCCCACGCCTCGTGGTTACTTCGGTGGCTCCACTGCGATGGCGGGCCTCCAGGGGATATTGACGCCTAGTGGTCACTCCAGTGACCGCACCAAACGTCGAGAGTCCGCGCACAGGGCTAATTGGGGTCCACCTCCACATTCGGTGCCGTCGCATTGGCGATAATACTGTACTGTCTACCGGCTTTGTCGAAAAAAAGGCATGGCTTAGTATACACCAAGATCTTGCACATTGTTAATATAACCATGGAAATAGACAATCTGGACTACCACCACTATCTGTACTACTAGGAGATTAGAACGCGTGCAACAACTGCCAGTGTAACGGGGTGAATCGTTACATAACAATTTATAAGAAATTGTTAATAGAATATAACTATAAGAGTTATATTCTCAGAATATTGTCATAAGGACAATATTCTGTAGCACTTCCAAGTAGTTCCTAATTGGTTGATATAGGCCATTATATCAACCAACGAAGACGCGCCACGACAGACGCACGCAATGAGTGGTGAGCAGATAACTGATTTACACATTTGTATTTAGACATAGTTAGATGAAGATAAATAGTGATTTATTGCAGACATTAACTATTATAAATACAGTTCTACTTTTACTCTAACCGAGTACTCGCTTCTTCTTACCGTCTTCCTCTGCACGTACGAGTGTACGTGAAGTTACGAGGCACCGCCTTATTCTGTTATCAGAATAAGTAGCTTGTACTGTCACCAGTACAAGCTTCAGGGTGCCCCGTTACACCTGGTAGCACTTCGTAGTCCGTCCAAGGACCGCGTTCACATCCAACATGAATATGTTGGATGATGAAGATGACCAAAGCTTTCACGCTACGCGTGACGGCTACTCCCATTTGAGCGATGTCGAATGGGATGCGGTTGAACGAATGGGTTCGACCATGGGCATCCATGCTGTTAGCGTCATGCTAGAGGCTCTCAATAGAGATGCCCAACATGCTACTATCGCCAAGTTCATTCAAAATGAACTTGACGCAGAACGCGAGAAAGTAGCCTTGCTTCACCAACAAGGTTCTCAACAAGCAGAGTTGTTGAGAGAACAAGGTGCTCAACAGTTTGAACTGTTGAGACAGCAGCAAGCTGCTGCTGGCGGGTCGATGCACTCGCGTCGACCCGAGACTTTGAAGATTGACATCTCAAAGTATAGGGGGTCGAAGAAGACTCCCTCTTGAGATGGTTCGTCGAATTGGATGACGCCATAAGGGCGCGTCGCATCGACGACGGGGATATGCAAGTTGCATTTGCCCAGTCAAATCTGGCAGGACGTGCCAAGACTTGGGCACTGGGACTCAAGCTGCACGACCCATATGCGTTTGGGTCGTTGGAAGTCTTCAAGTCGCGGCTCAGACAAACGTTTGAACCGCCTAGAGCTGAGTTCAGAGCTCGAACCGAACTCTTGAAGCTCAAGCAGGGTAAGCGTGATGTGCACGCTTACGCTCAACATATACGACATCTCACGAGTTGTATAAGTTCCAATCCGGTGGATGAACACACGTTGGTTTCGGTGTTCATGCAGGGTCTTGCGGATGGTCCCGTCAAGACTCACCTGTTCCGGCTTGAACTAGATTCACTAGAACAAGCCATTTCAATTGCGGAGCAGGAAGACTTCAGTCTGAGACAGGCTCGCGCCAGCTCGACATCATATCGTCAACCGAGACGATATGACAACGGAGGTCCAGAGCCGATGGAACTCTGTTATGTAGAGAGCGAGAAGGTTCGCTCTACAGGCTACAAGAAGTTGCAGAGATGCAACAGATGTCAAAAGACAGGACACTACGCTTACGAGTGTAGTGCCCCTCGTCCAGTGTCTCGCGACACTGGGCGTAGTGACCGTCCACCCATGAGAAAGGGGCAGGGACGAGGGTCCGCAGTTGGTGCAAAGACGCAACAACGGGATGGACCGTCAAAAAACGGACAGGATCAGTAGGTGCGGAGCACCCTACTGATCCAGCAACGTCAAGAGAATTTGTAGGCCTCTTGATGAAAGTTGCTCCCAACACACAGACATTGTGCGTTGCTGCTCTAGGTAATGAGATCTCACTCATTACCTTGAAACTCGAAGTGACGAATAAGTTGTCCCTTCGAGCTCTAGTCGATTGTGGGGCGTCCAACAATTTTGTGCGACGCCAATCGCTAGAAGATGGTCACTTTAAATTCAGTGAATGTGACACACCTCCTACGAGGATGACGGTACGTCTTGCGACAGGCGCATCCGTAACCAATCATGAAGCGTATAGTGAAGATTCACTATACGCTAGAAGATACCCAATACGACGATGACTTTATCGTATTGGATTTGGATGACAAATTTGATGTCATCCTTGGAATACCGTGGCTCAGAAGGTACGAACCACGGGTAAACTGGCAACATCGGACAGTAACGATGCCTGCCGCTTGTTCATCAGATGGCCATCTGATGAACGTTTTGGAGCGTCCACAAGCGTGTGGATGTACTACGAGTGAGTGCGATGGCCTCACTTGTGGTACGGTCGTTAGTACGACTGCACAAAACCTTAGTGTACCAAACGGTTACACTTCGGAGCAAAGTTCCGGCGGCTGTGAGGAAACACAGGCTGCGCCGAAGGTCCACCACTCGAATAAGTCGGGTGGACTGGGACAAAGATGTATCCCTAGAGGGGAACATCTAGAAGAGAAACAATCGATCGCTCAGGTTAAGCGAAACGATAATCCTAGATCGACTGGAGAGTCTTTCGTAGAGGATCTCGCTGTGGTTGCGCAACCCCAGCTAGAGGAAGTAAAGGGAATAAGTCCCAAGATTACAAATACGGCGGAAATAAGTTCCCCGAAACCCGCGGGAATAAGTCCCCGGGAAGACGAAGGAATAAGTCCTTCGAAGCCTGAGGGAATAAGTCCCCAGGAAATGACAGAGACATTGAATGTCATAGTCAATAACGGATCATGTGTAGGCGCTTATACACTTGATCTGATTGCGCCTCCGAAGTTAACTTCGGAGATCACTCAGTTGCCAACGCTCGAACATAAAAGGTTCTTGCGTGATCTGCGTAGTGGCAAAGTCAAGCAGATCTGCATACTCGTCGCTGACGACGAGTATGTAACCGACATAAGGTCAGCAACAGTGTTTACTGAGAACGAGAGAGTTCTCAGTAGTTCATCTATGGACGAGAGTGTCCTAGATGAAAAGACACGAATTGAGCGATATGAGTCCCAATCATGGGAATCGCTCAAGGAAAATCCTCTCTATGAAGATTTGGTTGAATTCAAGGATGTATTCCCTGAAACTGTTCCGTGCGAATTACCGAAGGATAAAGGTATTCGACACGAAGTCGAGCTTAAACCAGGCTCGAAGTACTGTGTCATGAAGCAGTGGCCACTGCCTCGTGAACAAGTACTTGCGATCGACAAGTTCTTTGCCGATCGTTTAGCAGCGGGCCATGTGAGGGAATCAACTTCCCCACATAGCTCTCCGACCTTCTGTGTGCGAAAAGCAACAGGAGGGTGGCGGATAGTGCACGCGTTCAACAAATTGAACGCTGCAACGGTACCGGCTCAGACGCCGATACCGAGGAAGGACGTAATCATTGATGGTATGTCAAAGAGTACCATCTTTTCGTCCATGGATTTGATGGATGGCTTCTATCAAATCCTAATGCGGGATCGGGATATACCCTATACCGCAGTTAGCACGCCTAGCGGCATGCTCTGGGAATGGCTAGTAATGCCACAAGGGCTCAGTAATGCCCCTGCCACGTTCAACAGGTGTGTATCACATCTGTTGATGTAACGGGGCACCCTGAAGCTTGTACTGGTGACAGTACAAGCTACTTATTCTGATAACAGAATAAGGCGGTGCCTCGTAACTTCACGTACACTCGTACGTGCAGAGGAAGACGGTAAGAAGAAGCGAGTACTCGGTTAGAGTAAAAAGTAGAACTGTATTTATAATAGTTAATGTCTGCAATAAATCACTATTTATCTTCATCTAACTATGTCTAAATACAAATGTGTAAATCAGTTATCTGCTCACCACTCATTGCGTGCGTCTGTCGTGGCGCGTCTTCGTTGGTTGATATAATGGCCTATATCAACCAATTAGGAACTACTTGGAAGTGCTACAGAATATTGTCCTTATGACAATATTCTGAGAATATAACTCTTATAGTTATATTCTATTAACAATTTCTTATAAATTGTTATGTAACGATTCACCCCGTTACATCACCCCCCCTTAACCATCAGTCACTTTAGTGACTGATTGACTAAATGGATACTCGTCCCAAATCATTTGGGACGGGGTTTGCACTTGTTGGTCCGCGTCCACTTTCCAACATCTCATCGCATGGTAAACAAGCCCATGCGATGCGCGAGCAAGGCCGCCGAGAGCGCGTCTGCACGTCTCTGTGCGGACGCCGAAGCAGAAACTACAGCAACTGATATCCCATCGGTTGCTGAATCGACTCAGCCTGTATCACCTGGTGATGCAGGCGCTGGTCATGAAGGCACTCGTGTCTTCACAGAGTACGAGCTCGGTGTCTCGTACTCTCCTGATACGGATGACGGATCCGTATCGACGGCAATTGAATCCAAGCCGCCTGCCAAGCGTGGCATGGACGATGCTTTGCGTCGCAGCATCTTTGGTTCATCTGATGAGTCAGATGAACCATCGCCGAAGCGAAGGCGCTCGAGGTCGCGAGACTCGGGCGCTAATAGTGGTGTCGTTTCTCCAATGGACACCACTTCACAGCGAGGTGCCAGTACTTCTGTCGGCACGTCGCAGGAAGAGCGGGACCGCAATGTGTTGCGTCTCGCTCCAGAAAAGAAGGCATGGATGCCTCCTAAATCTGTCATGGATCACTTGTCGGCGACGACGAGTGATCGTTATCGAACACGATTGTTCGATTCGTCAAGGATCCATCACCTTGACCCCAGCGCGAAAGACTATCGCGCTGAACATGAGTTCTTCATCGATGCTTTCTTCAGACATCGATGGTACAGTGGGAATCACAAACGTGATGGTCCCTCACTACTTCAGGCGTGGAACGCCTACATCCATAATCTCGAGGATGTAGGTCGTGACGCTTGGAACGACAAACTTATCAAAGCTCGTGATAAGTTTGAAAAGCGAACCCCGACAGGTGCACGCTATAAGCTGCATCGTCTGTCAAGGGAGAAAGGATTACCCTGCCTCTCTTGGGGAGACTCGTGCCCATGTTGTGTGAACAACTCTGCACGAGCACCTAAGGAGGCTTACCTCCTTACCAGCCCGTGGTGGCGCGTACGTGTCTCTACTGAGATGTACGAAGGGATTGACAACCTGAAATCCCTTTACGACCGTGCCGGGAAGACTTTCTCCGGCGGTCCTTCTGCGGCACAGGATGTGTCGCGTCGTACTGCTCGACCAGACCCAGTACGTCAACCATCAATTGGGAGCGGGGCTCCCAAGAATCCCAGGACGGGGGATAGCCGCGCCACCGGACGAGGTAACTCGTCCGACGTCCGTTCACGTCGCGGTGGTTCAACAGCTGCTCTACTAGATAGCGCTGGCCACCGCGAGAGTCCTCTAATGGAGGTGGAGGAGGAGGAAAGACGCTCTCCACACGATCATGTGGATCGGTGTGTTTCCCGAGAGCTTCTTTGATCGCGTAACGCAAGGGTTACGCGACGATCTCGAGCATGAGCGGAATAGGCGTCTCCAGATGGTGGACACTGCCTCGAAGCATCGAGCTGAGTTTGCCTTTGCTCAGCTTGAGAACGAGAGATCTCTGACATCTCTTCGTGACGAGCTAAGGGTAGCTCGTGGGATTGTTGATCGGTCTCGGGCTGAGATAACTGCTCTTCAGACCCTTGTTGATGCCCACCATCGGGAGCACAAGGCTCTCTGCGAGATGCTTGAGCGCAAGGGCGTTCTTCATCGGAAGAAGCAGCGTACTGATGGTACGGCTTAAGCCGACCAACGTAAAACGTGGGATGCGTTCGCATCTTACGTGGTAACTCGATCGTGTATGCATTGCCTAGGCGGTGCAATACACGAAATGGGCCAATGTACTTGGGTAGTAGTTTACTGCTACCCAAGTTAGTCACTACATGTTTTGGTAGATTAACCGTAGACAGTAGGACTAAGTCACCTTTTATTAAATAAAAGAGTGTTTGCCCTTCCATTCTTGTCAGCGTTTTGCTTTTGCTTATCCACCGCTTCGGCGATGGAGTCTTGCACAAAACGGACTACCGTTTCACGAGCCAGTATGAACTCATCTGATGACTCGTTAGCTTCAGTGTGCTGTGAGCGCACTGCAGCGACAACAACCTTTTCTTCAGTGAGGGCTTCCGCACTCTCACTGGGATCATTGTCTTCAGTGAGGGCTTCCGCACTCTCACTGGCATCATCTTCTTCGATATCGATGTTATCGATATCGGCATCAAACTGCAATGACTTCTTCGTCAGAGCGTGATGAGCGTGAACCAAATCGGTTTTTGCTCGCGCGAGTCCCTCCCCCCTTAAACCAGAGTTACACTCTAGTAAGGTGGGTACACGCGGATGGCGCAAGCCATTCACGTAAAACGGTGTATGTGTCGTGGACGCATGCACCGAGTTGTTGATGGCAAACTCTACCATCGGCAAAAACTCACTCCAACTCTTAAAGGAGTGTACGTATCCTCGAAGTATCTCTTCAAGGACACGATTGGCACGTTCCGTCTGACCATCTGACTCTGGATGATCAGATGTTGACATCTTCAAGCGCGTTCCGAGTGATTTGAACACGGAACGCCAGAAATCAGCAGTGAATCGGGGATCTCTGTCTGATACGAGTTCACGGGGCAACCCATGAAGTCGGAAGATGGTGTCAATAAAGACACAAGCACAGCCACTTGCCGTGATTGTCTCTGGTACAGCCACAAGGTGTACCATTTTGCTGAATCTGTCAACAAATACGAGAATACCCGTATTCCCGCGTGCGTCTTTGGGTAACCCGAAGACGAAATCCATTGAGATGGATTCCCAGCACTCAGCCGGAACCGGTAGAGGCTGTAAAGGTGCACGCAGTGAAGGACTTGACTTCACTCGTTGGCAGACTTTCGCATGCGCGAACATACTTTCGCACAAACTGATACTGGCGGGGCCAGTAAAAGTCTCGACTTACCGTGAGATATGTTTTCTCTCGGCCACGATGTCCTCCTATAGGAGCATCGTGATACTCGAACATGATCCGCAAACGCAGATCAGTATCATCTGGAATGACAACACGTGGTGTGTCACCAGAAACGGCTGTATAGTACAGTAAACCGTTACGAGTAGTGTATCGATCTGATGCAGATCGATACGCAGACGACAATCGTTTCAACGATTCTCGAGATGGTTGGGAGAGATGTGACAACAACTTCACTATCTCACCATCTTGGGCGTATGCCCGCCTCACATCATCATACAACGTTGTAGATGGAACTGAGGACGTCATAACCGCAACAGTGACTGTCTCACTGTTGGGTTTCGCGACTGTTTCAAAGTCGGGACGACGTGAGAGTGCATCAGCGACGACATTAAGTCGTCCTGGTTTGTACTCGACCGTAAAGTTGTATTCTGCAAAGAATGACAACCACCGCGCCATTCGTTGTGAAAGGTGCGGGCTGTTCACTGCCGTGCGTAATGACGCATGGTCAGTGTAAACAATGAAGGGTCTATCTCCTAATAGATAGACTCTGAACTTCGCGAGTGCATATTTAATGGCAAGGAGTTCCTTGTCATGCACTGGATAGTTCCGCTCAGCTGGTTGCAGCTGACGCGACTGATAGCAGACGACGCGTTCAACGCCTTCAAGATCGTACTGCATTAATGCACAGCCGATTGCGAAATCGCTGGCATCACAAACCACATGAAATGGCCTGTCCTGATCGGCTATTGCTAGGACTGGGGATTGTATCAAGCTCTGCTTGATACCCTCAAAGGAGCGTTGACATTCAGCGTTCCATAACCACCTCTCGTTCTTTTTCAACAAACGAGAGAGGTGTACAGTCATCTCGGCGTAATTGCGTGAATACTTATGCAAATACGCCGCTAGCCCAAGGAATTTTCGAAGACCTTTGACATCGACCGGCACGGGCCAGTCGGTGATCGCCTTGATCTTTTCGGGATCAGGACGTACACCGTTCTTACCAACGATGCACCCAAGAAGTGGTATTTCGCTTGCTGCAAATATACACTTCTTGAGGTTTGCATACAATTGATGCTTTCGCATGATTGTAAGAACTTGTCGGACGTGGTACTTGTGAACCTCAACGTCCGACTTTCCATCCATAGCTCGACTATGGATGAATACGTCATCGAAATAACTCGGCGCGAATTCTCGTACTGGCCTCAACAGATGTGATACACACCTGTTGAACGTGGCAGGGGCATTACTGAGCCCTTGTGGCATTACTAGCCATTCCCAGAGCATACCGCTAGGCGTGCTAACTGCGGTATAGGGTATATCCCGTTCCCGCATTAGGATTTGATAGAAGCCATCCATCAAATCCATGGACGAAAAGATGGTACTCTTTGACATACCATCAATGATTACGTCCTTCCTCGGTATCGGCGTCTGAGCCGGTACCGTTGCAGCGTTCAATTTGTTAAACGCGTGCACTATCCCGCCACCCTCCTGTTGCTTTTCGCACACAGAAGGTCGGAGAGCTATGTGGGGAGGTTGATTCCCTCACATGGCCCGCTGCTAAACGATCGGCAAAGAACTTGTCGATCGCAAGTACTTGTTCACGAGGCAGTGGCCACTGCTTCATGACACAGTACTTCGAGCCTGGTTTAAGCTCGACTTCGTGTCGAATACCTTTATCCTTCGGTAATTCGCACGGAACAGTTTCAGGGAATACATCCTTGAATTCAACCAAATCCTCATAGAGAGGGTTTTCCTTGAGCGATTCCCATGATTGGGACTCATATCGCTCAATCTGTGTCTTTTCATCTAGGACACTCTCGTCCATAGATGAACTACTGAGAACTCTCTCGTTCTCAGTAAACACTGTTGCTGACCTTATGTCGGTTACACACTCGTCGTCAGCGACGAGTATGCAGATCTGCTTGACTTTGCCACTACGCAGATCACGCAAGAACCTTTTATGTTCGAGCGTTGGCAACTGAGTGATCTCCGAAGTTAACTTCGGAGGCGCAATCAGATCAAGTGTATAAGCGCCTACACATGATCCGTTATTGACTATGACATTCAATGTCTCTGTCATTTCCTGGGGACTTATTCCCTCAGGCTTCGAAGGACTTATTCCTTCGTCTTCCCGGGGACTTATTCCCGCGGGTTTCGGGGAACTTATTTCCGCCGTATTTGTAATCTTGGGACTTATTCCCTTTACTTCCTCTAGCTGGGGTTGCGCAACCACAGCGAGATCCTCTACGAAAGACTCTCCAGTCGATCTAGGATTATCGTTTCGCTTAACCTGAGCGATCGATTGTTTCTCTTCTAGATGTTCCCCTCTAGGGATACATCTTTGTCCCAGTCCACCCGACTTATTCGAGTGGTGGACCTTCGGCGCAGCCTGTGTTTCCTCACAGCCGCCGGAACTTTGCTCCGAAGTGTAACCGTTTGGTACACTAAGGTTTTGTGCAGTCGTACTAACGACCGTACCACAAGTGAGGCCATCGCACTCACTCGTAGTACATCCACACGCTTGTGGACGCTCCAAAACGTTCATCAGATGGCCATCTGATGAACAAGCGGCAGGCATCGTTACTGTCCGATGTTGCCAGTTTACCCGTGGTTCGTACCTTCTGAGCCACGGTATTCCAAGGATGACATCAAATTTGTCATCCAAATCCAATACGATAAAGTCATCGTCGTATTGGGTATCTTCTAGCGTATAGTGAATCTTCACTATACGCTTCATGACGGTTACGGATGCGCCTGTCGCAAGACGTACCGTCATCCTCGTAGGAGGTGTGTCACATTCACTGAATTTAAAGTGACCATCTTCTAGCGATTGGCGTCGCACAAAATTGTTGGACGCCCCACAATCGACTAGAGCTCGAAGGGACAACTTATTCGTCACTTCGAGTTTCAAGGTAATGAGTGAGATCTCATTACCTAGAGCAGCAACGCACAATGTCTGTGTGTTGGGAGCAACTTTCATCAAGAGGCCTACAAATTCTCTTGACGTTGCTGGATCAGTAGGTGCTCCGCACCTACTGATCCTGTCCGTTTTTTGACGGTCCATCCCGTTGTTGCGTCTTTGCACCAACTGCGGACCCTCGTCCCTGCCCCTTTCTCATGGGTGGACGGTCACTACGCCCAGTGTCGCGAGACACTGGACGAGGGGCACTACACTCGTAAGCGTAGTGTCCTGTCTTTTGACATCTGTTGCATCTCTGCAACTTCTTGTAGCCTGTAGAGCGAGCCTTCTCGCTCTCTACATAACAGAGTTCCATCGGCTCTGGACCTCCGCTGTCATATCGTCTCGGTTGACGATACGTTGTCGAGCTTGCGCGAGCCTGTCTCAGACTGAAGTCTTCCTGCTCCGCAATGGAAATGGCTTGTTCTAGTTAATCTAGTTCAAGCCGGAACAGGTGAGTCTTGACGGGACCATCCGCAAGACCATGCATGAACACCGAAACCAACGTGTGTTCATCCACCGGATTGGAACTTATACAACTCGTGAGATGTCGTATATGTTGAGCGTAAGCGTGCACATCACGCTTACCCTGCTTGAGCTTTAAAAGTTCGGTTCGAGCTCTGAACTCAGCTCTAGGCGGTTCAAACGTTTGTCTGAGCCGCGACTTGAAGACTTCCAACGACCCAAACGCGTATGGGTCGTGCAGCTTGAGTCCCAGTGCCCAAGTCTTGGCACGTCCTGCCAGATTTGACTGGGCAAATGCAACTTGCATATCCCCGTCGTCGATGCGACGCGCCCTTATGGCGTCATCCAATTCGACGAACCATCTCAAGAGGGAGTCTTCTTCGACCCCCTATACTTTGAGATGTCAATCTTCAAAGTCTCGGGCCGACGCGAGTGCATCGACCCGCCAGCAGCAGCCTGCTGCTGTCTCAACAGTTCAAACTGTTGAGCACCTTGTTCTCTCAACAACTCTGCTTGTTGAGAACCTTGTTGGTGAAGCAAGGCTACTTTCTCGCGTTCTGCGTCAAGTTCATTTTGAATGAACTTGGCGATAGTAGCATGTTGGGCATCTCTATTGAGAGCCTCTAGCATGACGCTAACAGCATGGATGCCCATGGTCGAACCCATTCGTTCAACCGCATCCCATTCGACATCGCTCAAATGGGAGTAGCCGTCACGCGTAGCGTGAAAGCTTTGGTCATCTTCATCATCCAACATATTCATGTTGGATGTGAACGCGGTCCTTGGACGGACTACTAAGTGCTACCAGGTGTAACGGGGGCACCCTGAAGCTTGTACTGGTGACAGTACAAGCTACTTATTCTGATAACAGAATAAGGCGGTGCCTCGTAACTTCACGTACACTCGTACGTGCAGAGGAAGACGGTAAGAAGAAGCGAGTACTCGGTTAGAGTAAAAGTAGAACTGTATTTATAATAGTTAATGTCTGCAATAAATCACTATTTATCTTCATCTAACTATGTCTAAATACAAATGTGTAAATCAGTTATCTGCTCACCACTCATTGCGTGCGTCTGTCGTGGCGCGTCTTCGTTGGTTGATATAATGGCCTATATCAACCAATTAGGAACTACTTGGAAGTGCTACAGAATATTGTCCTTATGACAATATTCTGAGAATATAACTCTTATAGTTATATTCTATTAACAATTTCTTATAAATTGTTATGTAACGATTCACCCCGTTACAGTTGAGGCCAGTACGAGAATTCGCGCCGAGTTATTTCGATGACGTATTCATCCATAGTCGAGCTATGGATGGAAAGTCGGACGTTGAGGTTCACAGGTACCACGTCCGACAAGTTCTTACAATCATGCGAAAGCATCAATTGTATGCTAACCTCAAGAAGTGTATATTTGCAGCAAGCGAAATACCACTTCTTGGGTGCATCGTTGGTAAGAACGGTGTACGTCCTGATCCCGAAAAGATCAAGGCGATCACCGACTGGCCTGTGCCGGTCGATGTCAAAGGTCTTCGAAAATTCCTTAGGCTAGCGGCGTATTTGCATAAGTATTCACGCAATTACGCCGAGATGACTGTACACCTCTCTCGTTTGTTGAAAAAGAACGAGAGGTGGTTATGGAACGCTGAATGTCAACGCTCCTTTGAGGGTATCAAGCAGAGCTTGATACAATCCCCCAGTCCTAGCAATAGCCGATCAGGACAGGCCATTTCATGTGGTCTGTGATGCCAGCGATTTCGCAATCGGCTGTGCATTAATGCAGTACGACCTTGAAGGCGTTGAACGCGTCGTCTGCTATCAGTCGCGTCAGCTGCAACCAGCTGAGCGGAACTATCCAGTGCATGACAAGGAACTCCTTGCCATGAAGTATGCACTCGCGAAGTTCAGAGTCTATCTATTAGGAGATAGACCCTTCGTTGTTTACACTGACCATGCGTCCTTACGCACGGCAGTGAACAGCCCGCACCTTTCACAACGAATGGCGCGGTGGTTGTCATTCTTTGCAGAATACAACTGTACGGTCGAGTACAAACCAGGACGACTTAATGTCGTCGCTGATGCACTCTCACGTCGTCCCGACTTTGAAACAGTCGCGAAACCCAACAGTGAGACAGTCACTGTTGCGGTTATGACGTCCTCAGTTCCATCTACAACGTTGTATGATGATGTGAGGCGGGCATACGCCCAAGATGGTGAGATAGTGAAGTTGTTGTCACATCTCTCCCAACCATCTCGAGAATCGTTGAAACGATTGTCGTTCGCGTATCGATCTGCATCAGATCGATACACTACTCGTAACGGTTTACTGTACTATACAGCCGTTTCTGGTGACACACCACGTGTTGTCATTCCAGATGATACTGATCTGCGTTTGCGGATCATGTTCGAGTATCACGATGCTCCTATAGGAGGACATCGTGGCCGAGAGAAAACATATCTCACGGTAAGTCGAGACTTTTACTGGCCCCGCCAGTATCAGTTTGTGCGAAAGTATGTTCGCGCATGCGAAGTCTGCCAACGAGTGAAGTCAAGTCCTTCACTGCGTGCACCTTTACAGCCTCTACCGGTTCCGGCTGAGTGCTGGGAATCCATCTCAATGGATTTCGTCTTCGGGTTACCCAAAGACGCACGCGGGAATACGGGTATTCTCGTATTTGTTGACAGATTCAGCAAAATGGTACACCTTGTGGCTGTACCAGAGACAATCACGGCAAGTGGCTGTGCTTGTGTCTTTATTGACACCATCTTCCGACTTCATGGGTTGCCCCGTGAACTCGTATCAGACAGAGATCCCCGATTCACTGCTGATTTCTGGCGTTCCGTGTTCAAATCACTCGGAACGCGCTTGAAGATGTCAACATCTGATCATCCAGAGTCAGATGGTCAGACGGAACGTGCCAATCGTGTCCTTGAAGAGATACTTCGAGGATACGTACACTCCTTTAAGAGTTGGAGTGAGTTTTTGCCGATGGTAGAGTTTGCCATCAACAACTCGGTGCATGCGTCCACGACACATACACCGTTTTACGTGAATGGCTTGCGCCATCCGCGTGTACCCACCTTACTAGAGTGTAACTCTGGTTTAAGGGGGGAGGGACTCGCGCGAGCAAAAACCGATTTGGTTCACGCTCATCACGCTCTGACGAAGAAGTCATTGCGTTTGATGCCGATATCGATAACATCGATATCGAAGAAGATGATGCCAGTGAGAGTGCGGAAGCCCTCACTGAAGACAATGATCCCAGTGAGAGTGCGGAAGCCCTCACTGAAGAAAAGGTTGTTGTCGCTGCAGTGCGCTCACAGCACACTGAAGCTAACGAGTCATCAGATGAGTTCATACTGGCTCGTGAAACGGTAGTCCGTTTTGTGCAAGACTCCATCGCCGAAGCGGTGGATAAGCAAAAGCAAAACGCTGACAAGAATGGAAGGGCAAACACTCTTTTATTTAATAAAGGTGACTTAGTCCTACTGTCTACGGTTAATCTACCAAAACATGTAGTGACTCAACTTGGGTAGCAGTAAACTACTACCCAAGTACATTGGTCCATTTCGTGTATTGCACCGCCTAGGCAATGCATACACGATCGAGTTACCACGTAAGATGCGAACGCATCCCACGTTTTACGTTGGTCGGCTTAAGCCGTACCATCAGTACGCTGCTTCTTCCGATGAAGAACGCCCTTGCGCTCAAGCATCTCGCAGAGAGCCTTGTGCTCCCGATGGTGGGCATCAACAAGGGTCTGAAGAGCAGCTATCTGGTCCCGAGACCGATCAACAATCCCACGAGCTACCCTTAGCTCGTCACGAAGAGATGTCAGAGATCTCTCGTTCTCAAGCTGAGCAAAGGCAAACTCAGCTCGATGCTTCGAGGCAGTGTCCACCATCTGGAGACGCCTATTCCGCTCATGCTCGAGATCGTCGCGTAACCCTTGCGTTACGCGATCAAAGAAGCTCTCGGGAACACACCGATCCACATGATCGTGTGGAGAGCGTCTTTCCTCCTCCTCCACCTCCATTAGAGGACTCTCGCGGTGGCCAGCGCTATCTAGTAGAGCAGCTGTTGAACCACCGCGACGTGAACGGACGTCGGACGAGTTACCTCGTCCGGTGGCGCGGCTATCCCCCGTCCTGGGATTCTTGGGAGCCCCGCTCCCAATTGATGGTTGACGTACTGGGTCTGGTCGAGCAGTACGACGCGACACATCCTGTGCCGCAGAAGGACCGCCGGAGAAAGTCTTCCCGGCACGGTCGTAAAGGGATTTCAGGTTGTCAATCCCTTCGTACATCTCAGTAGAGACACGTACGCGCCACCACGGGCTGGTAAGGAGGTAAGCCTCCTTAGGTGCTCGTGCAGAGTTGTTCACACAACATGGGCACGAGTCTCCCCAAGAGAGGCAGGGTAATCCTTTCTCCCTTGACAGACGATGCAGCTTATAGCGTGCACCTGTCGGGGTTCGCTTTTCAAACTTATCACGAGCTTTGATAAGTTTGTCGTTCCAAGCGTCACGACCTACATCCTCGAGATTATGGATGTAGGCGTTCCACGCCTGAAGTAGTGAGGGACCATCACGTTTGTGATTCCCACTGTACCATCGATGTCTGAAGAAAGCATCGATGAAGAACTCATGTTCAGCGCGATAGTCTTTCGCGCTGGGGTCAAGGTGATGGATCTCTGACGAATCGAACAATCGTGTTCGATAACGATCACTCGTCGTCGCCGACAAGTGATCCATGACAGATTTAGGAGGCATCCATGCCTTCTTTTCTGGAGCGAGACGCAACACATTGCGGTCCCGCTCTTCCTGCGACGTGCCGACAGAAGTACTGGCACTCGCTGTGAAGTGGTGTCCATTGGAGAAACGACACCACTATTAGCGCCCGAGTCTCGCGACCTCGAGCGCCTTCGTTGGCGATGGTTCATCTGACTCATCAGATGAACCAAAGATGCTGCGACGCAAAGCATCGTCCATGCCACGCTTGGCAGGCGGCTTGGATTCAATTGCCGTCGATACGGATCCGTCATCCGTATCAGGAGAGTACGAGACACCGAGCTCGTACTCTGTGAAGACACGAGTGTCTTCATGACCAGCGCCTGCATCACCAGGTGATACAGGCTGAGTCGATTCAGCAACCGATGGGATATCAGTTGCTGTAGTTTCTGCTTCGGCGTCCGCACAGAGACGTGCAGACGCGCTCTCGGCGGCCTTGCTCGCGCATCGCATGGGCTTGTTTACCATGCGATGAGATGTTGGAAAGTGGACGCGGACCAACAAGTGCAAACCCCGTCCCAAATGATTTGGGACGAGTATCCATTTAGTCAATCAGTCACTAAAGTGACTGATGGTTAAGGGGGGTGATGTAACGGGGTGAATCGTTACATAACAATTTATAAGAAATTGTTAATAGAATATAACTATAAGAGTTATATTCTCAGAATATTGTCATAAGGACAATATTCTGTAGCACTTCCAAGTAGTTCCTAATTGGTTGATATAGGCCATTATATCAACCAACGAAGACGCGCCACGACAGACGCACGCAATGAGTGGTGAGCAGATAACTGATTTACACATTTGTATTTAGACATAGTTAGATGAAGATAAATAGTGATTTATTGCAGACATTAACTATTATAAATACAGTTCTACTTTTTACTCTAACCGAGTACTCGCTTCTTCTTACCGTCTTCCTCTGCACGTACGAGTGTACGTGAAGTTACGAGGCACCGCCTTATTCTGTTATCAGAATAAGTAGCTTGTACTGTCACCAGTACAAGCTTCAGGGTGCCCCGTTACAGCCAGAATACATCCGGGATTGATTGAGTCGTACGAAAAGCGACATGGTATCTGGATTCAAAAGAAAAATATTTACGCTCTGGAAGTAAACAAGGTGATCCTTAGAGCGATCAAAAGATGGTGCGTGACCGATGTTAAGCTTGATCGTGAACAGCTGGATAAAACTACATAGTGTACAAAAAACGTTGCAATTCGCTGCAGGCAGTCTTGGCAGGTTCACGAGAAAGCAAATCAAGTCGCTTCGATTACGGTATTACCGAAGAAGTGCGGCACTAACTTTCCGTGTTTCTGCTGGAAAAGAATTGTGTGGTTGCACTTTGCCAAGGCGGACTTGACCACGATGACCCTGAAACGCTCATCTAATTCATTATACGACACGTCATGGCTCAGCTGATAATTCGGTCTACACCACTCACTTGAGCTTAGATGGCGGATTGGTTGTAATCTAAAAGCCACTGAATCGAGCGAGAGTGCGAGGCTGAGTGTGGCAAAGCAAGATCTTGGACCTGTTTACGCTCCAGGTCGGCCACACGACTCGCTGCTACGGAACACTTAATCAAGTAGCTCAAACTTTTACACGTGGTGGCTCAGATTGTCTATTTCCATGGTAATGTATACCATGTGCAAGTTCTCTGGTATGTTTTTGGCCATGGCGTGACCGCCGGTAGGTGACTCGGAGGCTATTCATGACTGGATTCAGTTTTTACTGGCACCCCTGCAAGTTCGCGCTCCAGCAACTCAATGCATGCATAAAGCATGGCAGCCTGAGTTGCAGTCGCTACTTTCTGATGCTGTCTCTTCGCGATCGCATGCAGATGACAGATGCAGGTGGACCAATAACTTTGCGTGCTCCCACAGATATTTTCATGGTTGCGGCTCGGTGGACAGCTTCATTTCGGTCTGTCCACAGCTTCGTTTGGCATACCGTGGCAAGGATGTGCCAGATTCGCTTCCAGACCCTTCGACCTCTTCCACATCATATTGAAACCGTTCTTACAAGATCCCTGTTCGATGTTTTGTTTCAGCTTATACTTGTCTGTTTGCGCATGCAACCAAGAATTATTGAATGCGCCGGTGGGATTCTCGCTCGCCTGTCCACTGCGCTACCAGTTTGGTCCATAAAGCGACGGTGCATGGGCTTGACTAAAATATGTAGTTCATGGTCTCATGGCAACCGCGGCAAGTTAAAATATTTCGACAACTTTTGTCCTCGGACCTCCCAGCATGGTACAGATTGAGCTGGCCCAACGCGACGCGACACCCCGTCCGAACTTGAACTCGAAGATTCCATTAGCATGGGAACAAACTTGCCGTGTCGATTGCATGAGGGCAGCGCGTTGCCGGTCGTCCTTCGCAGCCTCAGCCTCAAGCTAATCATCAAATTTCTGCATAGAATCGGCAAATACTTTTTTTTGCAATACCGGAAAGTTTAGGCATCAAAAGCCTACGTAATGGACCGATTTGGCGTCACATTCGGTACCGACCACGGAACTGGTGAAGCTGCGGGTCCGCTTTGAAGACAAGGCCCCATTTCCATTGAGCGTTGATCTCCGTCCTGTAACGGGATGAATCGTTACATAACAAATTGTAAGAATTGTTAATAGAATATAACTATAAGAGTTATATTCTCAGAATATTGTCGTAAGGACAAATATTCTACAGCACTTACGAGTAGTTCCTGATTGGTTGTTATAGGCGATTACATCAACCAACGAAGACGCGCCACGACAGACGCATGCAATGAGTGGTGAGCAGATAGTTGATTTACACATTTGTATTAAGACATAGTTAGATGAAGATAAATAGTGATTTATTGCAGACATTAACTATGATAAATACAGTTCTACTTTTTGCTTTAACCGAGTACTCGATTCTTCTTACCGTCTTCCTCTGCACGTACGTTTGTACGTGAAGTTACGAGGCACCGCCTTATTCTGTCGTCAGAATAAGTAGCTTGTACTGGTAACAGTACAAGCTTGAGCGTGCCCCGTTACACCTGGTAGCACTTCGTAGTCCGTCCAAGGACCACGTTCATGTCTAACATGGATATGTTGGATGATAAAGACGACCAAAGCTTTCACGTTGCGCGTGACGGCTACTCCCATTTGAGCAATGTCGAATGGGATGCGTTTGAACGGATGGGTTCAACCATGGGCATCCATGCTGTTAGCGTCATGCAAGAGGCTCTCAATAGAGATGCCCAACATGCTACTATCGCCAAGTTCATTCAAAATGAACTTGACGCAGAACGCGAGAAAGTAGCCTTGCTTCACCAACAAGGTTCTCAACAAGCAGAGTTGTTGAGAGAACAAGGTGCTCAACAGTTTGAACTGTTGAGACAGCAGCAGGCTGCTGCTGGTGGGTCGATGCACTCGCGTCGACCGAGACCTCGATAATTGACATCTCCAAGTATAGGGGAGTCGAAGAAGACTCCATCTTGAGATGGTTCGTCGTATTGGATGACGCCATAAGGGCGCGTCGCATCGACGACGGGATAGTGCAAGCTGAATTTGCCCAGTCAAATCTGGCAGGACGGGCCAAGACTTGGGCACTGGGGCTCAAGTTGCATGACCCATATGCGTTTGGGTCGTTGGAAGTCTTCAAGTCGCGGCTCAGACAAACGTTTGAACCGCCTAAGGCTGAGTTCAGAGCTCGAAACGGACTTTTAAAGCTCAAGCAGGGTAAGCGTGATGTGCACGCTTACGCGCAACATATACGACATCTTACGAGTTGTATAAGTTCTAACCCGGTGGATGAACACACGTATGGTTCGGTGTTCATGCAGGGTCTTGCGGATGGTCCCGTCAAGACTCACCTGTTCCGGCTTGAACTAGATTAACTAGAACAAGCCATTTCCATTGCGTAACAGGAAGACTTCAGTCCGAGACATGCTCGCGCCAGCTCGACATCATATCGTCAACCGAGACGATATGACAGCGGAGGTCCAGAGCCGATGGAACTCTGTTATGTAGAGAGCGAGAAGGCTCGCTCTACAGGCTACAAGAAGTTGCAGAGATGCAACAGATGTCAAAAGACAGGACACTACGCTTACGAGTGTAGTGCCCCTCGTCCAGTGTCTCGCGACACTGGGCGTAGTGACTGTCCACCCATGAGAAAGGGGCAGGGACGAGGGTCCGCAGTTGGTGCAAAGACGCAACAACGGGATGGACCGTCAAAAAACGGACAGGATCAGTAGGTGCGGAGCACCCTACTGGTCTAGCAACGTCAAGAGAATTTGTAGGTCTCTTGATGAAGGTTGCTCCCAACACACAGACGTTGTGCGTTGCTGCTCTAGGTGATGAGATCTCACTCATTACCTTGAAATTCGAAGTGACGAATAAGTTGTCCCTTCGAGCTCTAGTCGATTGGGGGGCGTCCAACAATTTTGTGCAACGCCAATCGCTAGAAGATGGTCATTTTAAGTTTAGTGAATGTGACACACCTCCTACGAGGATGACGGTACGTCTTGCGACAGGCGCATCCGTAACCGTCATGAAGCGTATAGTGAAGATCCACTATACGCTAGAAGATACCCAATATGACGATGACTTTATCGTATTGGATTTGGATGACAAATTTGATGTCATCCTTGGAATACCGTGGCTCAGAAGGTACGAACCACGAGTAAAATGGCAACATCGGACAGTAAAGATGCCTGCCGCTTGTTCATCAGATGGCCATCTGATGAACGTTTTGGAGCGTCCACAAGCGTGTGGATGTACTACGAGTGAGTGCGATGGCCTCACTTGTGGTACGGTCGTTAGTACGACTGCACAAAACCTTAGTGTGACAAACAGTTACACTTCGGAGCAAAGTTCCGGCGGCTGTGAGGAAACACAGGCTGCGCCGAAGGTCCACCACTCGAATATGTCGGGTGGACTGGGACAAAGATGTATCCCTAGCGGGGAACATCTAGAAGAGAAACAATCGATCGCTCTGGTTAAGCGAAACGATAATCCTAGATCGACTGGAGAGTCTTTCGTAGAGGATCTTGCTGTGGTTGCGCAACCCCAGCTAGAGGAAGTAAAGGGAATAAGTCCCAAGATTACAAATACGGCGGAAATAAGTTCCCCGAAACCCGCGGAAATAAGTCCCCGGGAAGCCGAAGGAAAATGTCCTTCGAGGCCTGAGGGAATAAGTACCCAGGAAATGACAGAGACATTGAATGTCATTGTCAATAACGGATCAAGTGTAGGCGCTTATGCACTTGATCTGATTGCGCCTCCGAAGTTGACCTCGGAGATCACTCAGTTGCCAACGCTCGAACGTAAAAGGTTCTTGTGTGATATGCGTAGTGGCAAAGTCAAGCAGATCTGCGTACTCGTCGCTGACGACGAGTGTGTAACCGACATAAGGTCAGCAACAGTGTTTACTGAGAACGAGAGAGTTCTCAGTAGTTTATCTATGGACGAGAGTGTCCTAGATGAAAAGACACGAATTGAGCGAAATGAGTCCCAATCATGGGAATCGCTCAAGAAAAATCCTCTCTATGAAGATTTGGTTGAATTCAAGGATGCATTCCCTGAAACTGTTCCGTGCGAATTACCGAAGGATAAAGGTATTCGACACGAGGTCGAGCTTAAACCAGGCTCGAAGTACTGTGTCATGAAGCAGTGGCCACTGCCTCGTGAACAAGTACTTGCGATCGACAAGTTCTTTGCCGATCGTTTAGCTGCGGGCCATGTGAGGGAATCAACTTCCCCACATAGCTCTCCGACCTTCTGTGTGCGAAAAGCAACAGGAGGGTGGCGGGGATAGTGCATGCATTTAACAAGTTGAATGCTGCAACGGTACCGGCTCAGACGTCGATACAAGGCAGGACGTAATCATTGATGGTATGTCAAAGAGTACCATCTTTTCGTCCATGGATTTGATGGATGGCTTCTATCAAATCATTATGCGATTACGGGATATACCCTATACCGCAGTTAGCACGCCTAGCGGCATGCTCTGGGAATGGCTAGTAATACCACAAGGGCTTAGTAATGCCCCTGCCACGTTCAACAGATGTGTATCACATCTGTTGAGACCAGTACGCGAATTCGCGCCGAGTTATTTCGATGACGTATTCATCCATAGTCGAGCTATGGATGGAAAGTCGGGCGTTGAGGTTCACAGGTACCACGTCCGACAGGTTATTACAATCATGCGAAAGCATCAATTGTATGCAAACCTCAAGAAGTGTACATTTGCAGCAAGCGAAATACCACTTCTTTGGTGCATCATTGGTAAGATCGGTGTACGTCCTGATCCCGAAAAGATCAAGGCGATCACTGACTGGCCTGTGCCGGTCGATGTCAAAGGTCTTCGAAATATCTTGGGCTAGTGGCGCATTTGCATAAGTATTCACGCAAATACGCCGAGATGACTGTGCACCTCTCTCGTTTGTTGAAAAAGAACGAGAGGTGGTTATGGAACGCTGAATGCCAGCGCTCCTTTGATGGTATCAAGCAGAGCTTGATTCAATCCCCAGTCCTCGCAATAGCCGATCAGGACAGGCCATTTCATGTGGTCTGTGATGCCAGCGATTTCGCAATCGGCTGTGCATTAATGCAGTACGACCTAGAAGGCGTTGAACGCGTCGTCTGCTATCAGTCGCGTCAGCTGCAACCAGCTGAGCGGAACTATCCAGTGCATGACAAGGAACTCCTTGCCATGAAGTATGCACTCGCGAAGTTCAGAGTCTATCTATTAGGAGATAGACCCTTCATTGTTTACACTGACCATGCGTCATTACGCACGGCAGTGAACAGCCCGCACCTTTCACAACGAATGGCGCGGTGGTTGTCATTCTCTGCAGAATACAACTTTACGGTCGAGTACAAACCAGGACGACTTAATGTCGTCGCTGATGCACTCTCACGTCGTCCCGACTTTGAAACAGTCGCGAAACCCAACAGTGAGACAGTCACTGTTGCGGTTATGACGTCCTCAGTCCCATCTACAACGTTGTATGATGATGTGAGGCGGGCATACGCCCAAGATGGTGAGATAGTGAAGTTGTTGACACATCTCTCCCAACCATCTCGAGAATCGTTGAAACGATTGTCGCCTGCGTATCGATCTGCATCAGATCGATACACTACTCGTAACGGGTTACTGTATTATACAGCCGTTTCTGGTGACACACCACGTGTTGTCATTCCAGATGATACTGATCTGCGTTTGCGGATCATGTTCGAGTATCACGATGCTCCTATAGGAGGACATCGTGGCCGAGAGAAAACATGTCTCACGGTGAGTCGAGACTTTTACTGGCCCCGCCAGTATCAGTTTGTGCGCAAGTATGTTCGCGCATGCGAAGTCTGTCAACGAGTGAAGTCAAGTCCTTCACTGCGTGCACCTTTACAGCCTCTACCGGTTCCGGCTGAGTGTTGGGAATCCATCTCAATGGATTTCGTCTTCGGTTACCCAAAGACGCACGCGGGAATACGGGTATTCTCGTATTTGTTGACAGATTCAGCAAAATGGTACACCTTGTGGCTGTACCAGAGACAATCACGGCAAGTGGATGTGCTTGTGTCTTTATTGACACCATCTTCCGACTTCATGGGTTACCCCGTGAACTCGTATCAGACGGAGATCCACGATTCACTGCTGATTTCTGGCGTTCCGTGTTCAAATCACTCGGAACGCGCTTGAAGATGTCGACATCTGATCATCCAGAGTCAGATGGTCAGACGGAACGTGCCAATCGTGTCCTTGAAGAGATACTTCGAGGATACGTACACTCCTTTAAGAGTTGGAGTGAGTTTTTGCCAATGGTAGAGTTTGCCATAAACAACTCGGTGCATGCGTCCACGACACATACATCGTTTTACGTGAATGGCTTACGCCCTCCGCGTGTACCCACCTTACTAGAGTGTAACTCTGGTTTAAGGGGGGGGGACTCGCGCGAGTAAAAACCGATTTGGTTCACGCTCATCACGCTCTGACGAAGAGGTCACTGCGTTTGATGCCGATATTGATAACATCGATGTCGAAGAAGATGATGCCAGTGAGAGTGCGGAAGCCCTCACTGAAGAAAAGGTTGATTTTGCTGCAGTGCGCTCACAGCGCACTGAAGCTAACGAGTCATCAGATGAGTTCATACTGGCTCGTGAAACGGTAGTCCGTTTTGCGTAAGACTCCATCGCCGAAGCGGTGGATAAGCAAAAGCAAAACGCTGACAAGAATGGAAGGGCAAACACTCTTTTATTTAATAAAGGTGACTTAGTCCTACTGTCTACGGTTAATCTACCAAAGCATGTAGTAACTTACTTGGGTAGCAGTAAACTACTACCCAAGTACATCGGCCCATTTCGTGTATTGCACCGCCTAGGCAATGCATACACGATCGAGTTACCACGTAAGATGCGAACGCATCTCACGTTTTTACGTTGGTCGGCTTAAGCCGTACCATCAGTACGCTGCTTCTTCCGATGAAGAACGCCCTTGCGCTCAAGCATCTCGCAGAGAGCCTTGTGCTCCCGATGGTGGGCATCAACAAGGGTCTGAAGAGCAGCTATCTCATCCCGAGACCGATCAGCATATCCCACGAGCTACCCTTAGCTCGTCACGCAGAGGTGTCAGAGATCTCTCGTTCTCAAGCTGAGCAAAGGCAAACTCAGCTCGATGCTTCGAGGCAGTGTCCACCATCTGGAGACGCCTATTCCGCTCATGCTCGAGATCGTCGCGTAACCCTTGCGTTACGCGATCAAAGAAGCTCTCGGGAACACACCGATCCACATGATCGTGTCGGAGAGCGTCTTTCCTCCTCCTCCACCTCCATTAGAGGACTCTCGCGGTGGCCAGCGCTATCTGGTAGACCGGCTGTTGAACCACCGCGATGTAAACGGACTTCGGACGAGTTACCTCGACCTGTGGCGCGATTATCCCCCGTCCTGGGATACTTGGGAGCCCCGCTCCCAATTGATGGTTGACGTACTGGGTCTGGTCGAGCAGTACGACGCGGCACATCCTGTGCCGCAGAAGGACCGCCGGAGAAAATCTTCCCGGCACGGTCGTAAAGGGATTTCAGGTTGTCAATCCCTTCGTACATCTCAGTAGAGATACGTACGCGCCACCACAGGCTGGTCAGGAGGTAAGCCTCCTTAGGTGCTCGTGCAGAGTTGTTCACACAACATGGGCACGAGTCTCCCCATGAGAGGCAGGGTAATCCTTTCTCCCTTGACAGACGATGCGGCTTGTAGCGTGCACCTGTCGGGGCTCGCTTTTCAAACTTGTCACGAGCTTTGATAAGTTTGTCGTTCCAAGCATCACGACCTACATCCTCAAGGTTATGGATGTAGGCGTTTCACGCTTGAAGCAGCGAAGGACCATCACGCTTGTGATTCCCACTGTACCATCGATGCTTTCTTTAAGCATCGATGAAGAACTCATTTTCAGCGCGATAGTTTTTCGCGCTGGGGTCAAGGTGATGGATCCTTGACGAATCGAACAATCGTGTTAGATAACGATCACTCGTCGTCGCCGACAAGTGATCCATGACTGATTTTGGAGGCATCCATGCCTTCTTCTCAGGAGCGAGACGCAACACATTGCGGTCCCGCTCTTCCTGCGACGTGCCGACAGAAGTACTGGCACCTCGCTGTGAAGTGGTGTCCATAGGAGAACCGACACCACTATTAGCGCCCGAGTCTCGCGACCTCGAGCGCCTTCGCTTCGGCGATGGTTCATCTGATGAATCAGATGAACCAAAGATGCTGCGAAGCAAAGCATCATCCATGCCACGCTTGGCAGGCGGCTTGGATTCAATCGCCGTCGATACGGATCCGTCTTCTCTATCAGGAGAGTATGAGTCACCGAGCTCATACTCTGTGAAGACATGAGTGTCTTCATGACCAGCGCCTGCATCACCAAGTGACACAGGCTGGGTCGCTTCAGCAACCGATGAGACATCAGTTGCTGTTGTTTCTGCTTCGGCGTCCGCACAGAGACGTGCGGACGCGCTCTCGGCGGCCTTGCTCGCGCATCGCATGGGCTTGTTAACCATGCGATGAATTGTTGGAAAGTGGACACGGACCAACAAGTGCAAACCCTGTCCCAAATGATTTGGGGAGAGTATCCATTTAGTCAATCAGTCACTAAAGTGACCGATGGTTAAGCGGGGGTGATGTAACGGGGTGAATCGTTACATAACAATTTGTAAGAAATTGTTAATAGAATATAACTATAAGAGTTATATTCTCAGAATATTGTCATAAGGACAAATATTCTGTAGCACTTACGAGTAGTTCCTGATTGGTTGATCTAGGCCATTATATCAACCAACGAAGACGCGCCACGACAGACGCACGCAATGAGTGGTGAGCAGATATTTGATTTACACATTTGTATTTAGACATAGTTAGATGAAGATAAATAGTGATTTATTGCAGACATTAATTATTATAAATACAGTTCTACTTTTTACTTTAACCAAGTACTCGCTTCTTCTTACCTTCTTCCTCTGCACTACGAGTGTACGTGAATTTAAGAGGCACCGCCTTATTCTGTCATCAGAATAAGTAGCTTGTACTGTCACCAGTTTAAGCTTCAGGGTGCCCCGGTACACAGGTGGCCCAATAACTTTGCGTGCTCCCACAGATATTTTCATGGTTGCGGCTCGGTGGACAGCTTCATTTCGGTCTGTCCACAGCTTCGTTTGGCATACCGTGGCAAGGATGTGCCAGATTCGCTTCCAGACCCTTCGACCTCTTCCACATCATTTTGAAACCGTTCTTACAAGATCCCTGTTCGATGTTTTGTTTCAGCTT